GAACGTGCACTGGTTCTTGGGCGTGCCGTGGTTCACGACGACGCCGTTTGACTTGGGGATCGTGCAGGCGAGCGAGGCGATTTTGGGGGATTATTTGCTGGGGTATCAGGCGGGGAATGAGCCGGGTGCGTTGCGTCTTTCCTTTCACCTGCCTACTCGATAACCACCTACTCTATAACTAAACGGGCTTCCCAGATATGTACTCCCTGCACGGACACAGGCCCTCGACCTACGGGCCGTACGACTACGGAGGCGAGTTTAGCGACTTTTTGACCGCGGTAAGGGGTGCCCTTTTTTCCAACTCTACCTGCCTGCGCTGACGACCGTGACGCCCAGATGTCCGCGGCCAACCTGGACGCGACGAAGCTCATCGGGCCCAACATCGCCAACTTTGCGTGGACGCCCGAGATGGTGTGGGACACGGGCTTTGTGGATACGTTTAATGCGAATTTGGCGTATTTGGCGGTGGAGAAGTGAGTTCGGCTAACCTGTCTCTACCTTCCTGCTCTACTCTACCCGCCCTCCCTCCCTCCCCTCAAAACACGCACTAACCCACCCCCAGATACCCGCGCGACAACTGCGCCGCCGCCTTCGGCGGCCCCAACGCGACCGTCGTCGACCCGCAGTCGGTGCTCCCTTTGTACCTGACGCACGACGCGCACACGCAGCTGCTGGCGCCGTATTTGAACAGCACGTTGTTTGCGCAGGGGAAGGGGAAGCCGTTTTTGATGTTTGAGACTAATACGGTGCGTGGGCTCTATCCTTTCCTTCCTTGGACGTACCTACCCTTCACGGATACCGGACACCGGATAATGTGCTGACGCACCGGACACAGGCCTCCTGCGGCGGCTTCCTCGGCATCTCCGACTCGTTCACGGCCGCGCTGTGGGGGCTCGACTACGCGCTGCAGATGGCGCACTCGAATTTTTCGGGGGCGATGTTCCATCTTGGGGGGCAGAATGTTTTTTATAATGTGAGTGGGATGGTTCTTTTGTTTTTTTACTTTTTACACCCCAAAACCTTCGAGGTGGGGGTGTGTAAAGGGGAGGCGGTTTTTGGGGGGGCGGGGGAGCGCAGGTGTGGTCCGAGGCGGTCGTCGTCCGCTTGGGCAGAGAGGGCTGGACGATGCCCGGAGCTTGACGAGTTTGGGGGGCAGGCGGGATTGGGATCGTGAGGCGCCGCGATGGGGTGGAGACAAGGTCGCACCGTTGGGGAGTGATGAATGCTCCACGCTTGGTCTTCCTGGGCAGAGATGTGCCCGGAGCTGGGCCCGACGAGTCTTCCTTTGGGCGGAGAACACTTCGAGCGGTCCTTATGCGGGCTGCTCGCGAGCCGACGACCGCCTCATTCTCCCTGTTTATCAAATGCTTGCTGACTCATACCTTGCTTTCCTTTCTGTCCAGCCGTTTACATGTAAGTCTCGTTCATTGCCTGTATCCTCCTTGTATTCCCGTTCCCGTTCCTTCCATCATAACATTCGGCGAGGGTGTGGGCCGGGTGGACGTCTCAAGCGCTCGCGTCCGCTCATGCCCTTGCCTCTCGTCGCTCGAGCCCCGGTGCTGGGGCTCGGTGGGAGACATGTTCGATGACGTTCATCTGCGTGGGCGTCGTTGGGGCTTGTCGGCTTCGACATACCCTCACCTCACCCCCTCTCCTTCCGCTTCCCCCTCCCTTTCTGCTCTCGACACACGATTAACATCCATTCAGCCCCACCCACCAACCAATCGACCTTCCACCAATGGTCCGTCGGCTCGCTCTACTACTCGGCGCTCGTCATGGCCGAAGCCATCGGGCCCTCGAACAACACGCAGGTCATGAACTACGGCGTCGACAACCTGTCGTCGTTCACGCCCATCTACGGCATCTACGAGAACGGGACGCCGGTGCGGGTCGCGATCGTGAACTACTTGGATGACCCGACTGGTGCGGTCCCTCTCCGCGAGTATGGATGGAGATGATGCTAATAACGAATGTGATTAATTGTACAGGCGCAAACGACGTGCACGCGGTTATTGCGATTGCGGGTGCGACGATGCCGAGCCAGGTAAAGGTCAAGTACCTCGCGGCGACGTCGGTGGTGCAGAAGGGCGGGTACACGTGGGCTGGGCAGGTACGCGCGCACCCCTGCATGCATGCATGCAGACTTAGTACTGCAACGCTAATACTTCGACATTGCTTCCACAGACCTTTGGCAATTTCTTCGAGTCTGACGGGCGGCCGACGGGGACGGAGAACATCACGACGGTGCAGTGCGACACGACGGCGCAGACGTGCACGATCGATGTGCCCGCGCCGGGCTTTGCGCTTGTGTTCCTCAACGACGATGCGTTCACGGAGGATAAGGGCATGCCGTCGATGACGTTTGCGACGACTGCTGCGACGAAGACGCATAATACCGGTAAGTCTCCTTCCTCGCCCCCCCCTCCCTCTTCATCTCCTCCTCGCTCGTACACGGCAGTTGCTGACTGAATCTGTGTTTGTGTATCTTTTAGCGACCGTGGACCCGACTGTCCTTGCGACGTCGAACGGGAACCGGATGTCGGACCATGATTTGGCGGGGACGAGTAAGCCGCCGAGCGCGGCGCCGCGGACGGCGAGCGCGTCGGTCATTGCGGCTGCTGTCGTCGTTGGCGCTGTCGTCGCCGTCCTTGGGCGGGTGATGTAGTAGGTCAGACTTCAGACTCAGACTCGGAGGCTACAGACAGACAGCAGAGTGGGAGTACGACGACGACGAGGATGAGGACGAGGACGCCTGCCTGCTTGCTACATACATACAACATACTGAGGGATGCTCTAATACCCGGACGATGATGATATATCTTTCACCTACTTATCTCATTCATTCATTGATATCCCCCTCCCTTGTGCCACCCATTGGATCTCCTGGTTGAGGTTAACGTGTAATATTTTCCGTCTGTTGATGATAAACGGAGGAGGACAATGATGACATTGATGCTGATTTCGTCGCGGTATGTCACTCATCACCTCTTGCGGTGGTCTATTATTGGAGACAAGTTGAAGTAGAAATTGGGATTGATCGGCGCGTCGAGGTGCGTCAAATCCCGCCAAAGGTATGAGATTGCAGCTTGGGGGCCGATACTTCTGCAAAACCGATGTCCTCACCGCAGTTGTTCGTAGTTCATCGGTTGATCGCCTTCTAAATTATATATACATTCAACACGATTGCCGGAGGGTATAAAAGATACGTCTGGACTCGAGACGTGGTGAGCTGGTATGCAATGTTCGGTGAATTGACGCACTTACCATGAAATCACGAATATGAAAAGAAATGAAACCGTTCCGCGCGAGCCGAAAGTTGGGCTTGAGAATCAAGCAAGGGCGGGAATATCCTGGAAAATATGGTAAGATGAGACAAACCGAGCATTATTCGGTGGATCGACGTACTAGACACGAACACAGCAAGTAATTTCTACGCTTCAGGCTTGCGAAGCGGGGATCGAAGTATGCCAGCGGCGGCGTTCAGCGGGGTGAGCGGGCGGCGGAGGGGCGAATGTGTCTGCGAAGAATAATGTCAACCCTCCTTGAGGGCCGCGGATAATGAGGGGAATACCTGAGGCGGGAGAAGGGAGCCTGAGGTGTAGTTTTCGTCTGAGGAGCCGTAGCGGGGCGGAGTCTTGGGAAGCAGGGTTGACGCGACAACGGAATACTTGACAGAAAGGCCTGGGGTAGCCGCAGTGCGCGCAACTTCTGTGCTTTGAATCCACGGCCTGCGACTGCAAAAAGTTGAATAAATAAACACGCTCTCAAATAATGAGCGTCGTACAGTCGACTCGGATAGCAGGAGCTCTTCTAGCTCTGCTTCGATTCCACTCCAAGCCAGAGCAGGTCCGAATGGAGAGTCCTAAGAGCCGAAAATGAATACCGCGCTGGGGGAGCCCCGAGAGGACACCTACATTGACTAGAAGATCATACTCCTGCCAGGGCGAGGTCAGTCACTAAACAGAACTGAGAAAAGCAAGGCTCTCACGAGCGTCCATGCGTGGGGATGCATATTCTGCTGCTGTACGTCGCGCTTATCTTCAGTAAGAGGAGGTCTATATAGCATTAAAAACTGCGCGTGTGTGGAGCAGGTTCAACTGAACGTACGAGATGCGTCCCTCTTGACTGTGCCGCCGGTACGTTTTATCGCGGGGGCTCGCCAACTGTGCGTTCGGTTGGAACTCGAAGGAGGAGGGGAAGAAAGCGGGCTACGGACTAGAGAGTGTACGCTGCCTCCAACGCGTCGGCAACCGGGGCCAATATGGCTTCCAACCATGCCAGGACGGTGAGGGTGTTCCCTTTTGAGCGCCGCCAAACACCTCCGATAAACGCGTAGAACCCAAGATCGACCTTTCCGACGTGTCCGAATAGATGCGGCGTGCATCGTAGCGGGAGAGTAGAGCGCGGAGGACCTCGTTGGATTCGAAGCAAGTCTCAACCGCCTACGCGAGTTATAGGCGCTTTGAAGGTTTGTTAATGATCATGATGAGCTCTCTTACCTTGGCGAAGCCCGGAGGCATTCTCGCCAGCTTGTCCGCTATTACTATACTCCGAGCCAGACTGAAGAGGCCTTTCCCGATATCGGCTGGACCTTCGAGGGCTGAGGCGCGCTGTTCGTCCTGCGGCGAGGCGTTTTCGGGAGTCAAAATGTTCCAGTCGGCCAGAAGGAGAGCAGGCAATGGCGAGGCGAGGTATGTGGGATCTTGGATCGCCTTTACTGCAGCTTTTTGAAGGAGCATCGGCGCGACCATAGTGGAGGCTAGTGGAGGGAGACAAGTTGGGATTTTGAATGACACTTGACAGGTCGAGGCGCATCAACAACAGATACCTCCGCATCCCCAAAAGGGACACAATGATGCGCCCTTCAGCTGTGAGATGAGGTCTAAATTTTGCAACTGGGTCCAAACTGGGTCGGAAACTCCACCAAGTGAGTGGACCGTCAGATTCGCGTCGCATGGGACCGTACAGAATTTTGCACCTCCAATTGCATGCACCTCCGTGCCGCTATGGATCAACGGTCAAATCCATTGCCAACGTTGAGCTGCGAACGCAATGATCGGGGGTTCGATTCCCCCAGCGGCACACGACGATGTTGTTCAAGGAGCCGGGTCCGGGCCTGGTTGTCCATTGTCACTAGAAGTGAGCATCCGCGGGGAAACTACAGTATGCTTCTCCTGGTATCGAGGCTGGGTTTCACATTTTGTTTCTGGTCCTGGTGTCATTCTATGCGTAGTGGTATCACGAGCCTTAGCAATTATGTTTCGTTGAGAGGTCTTTCCTAGTTTCCTGGACAGACGCTACGGATGTTCGTACTCCACTGTTGTGTTGCAGGTCTTTCAGTTTCTCATCGCCGTAAACTAACGGGCTCAAGGTTGAACCAAAGCTCAGGCTGAGACGACATACTTTCAAATTCTGCACCAGTTCAACCTACAAACCCAACTTCTGTGCCGGTTTCTCCCCACGGCGACGACGGAAATTTGATTTTCCGATTCTGGTTCAGTTCCAGGTTTTCTTTCTAGAGTGCAGTGGTATCCCAAATTTGAACGATTAAATCTGATCGCGGAGTCTTTGAATACTTTATGGTCCCTCTAGAAGGTTAATAACAGGAAACTTGACAAAACCTGAGACGACGGTGGCTCAGTGTACTCACACCATAATCAACTTCACGACACCATAATCAACTTCACAGAAATTCTATAGTCCCGCTCCTCCGAATGGCTTCCCAATCCCTGACCCCTCTGACCTGTGACATCCACACCGCATCCTCATCCTCCATCCAAATCCCGCCCGCCCCCCGCAGCGGAATCCCCTTCGACGACACCGCGTACCCCAGCCCCAACACCACGCGCACCTTCCTCTTCCTCTTCCCCTCCCCCTCCTTCAACTCCTTCCCTGTCTCCGACGCCGAGTCCACTGCCCCAGTAGAATCCAACCCCCCCAACCTCGCCGCGCGCCAATTCGTCTGAATCGTGTACTCCCCTCGCGGCGGGCAGGGAACGGGCGTCTCGAGGGGATGGCTGCAGCGCCAACGCACATCTGCCTGGATCCCCGCGAGATCCGCATTATACACAATAATCGCCCGCCGGACGTGCAGCGCGAGTGAACTAAGGGGCTGAGTGTGGAGGACGTTGGCGGGGATGGGGATGGGGATGGTGGAGACGGCGTTCTGGATATATGGGGCGGTCAGCGGCACATCTCCGGGGAAGATGGGCTTGCTGCGCAGGTCGACGGGAAGATGGACGTGAATCGGCGTGGTGTCGTGGGGGCTGCGATGGCCATATGTGCTCTGTAAAATTTGAACTTTTCAACACCATCACGACCGAAGTAAATGAACAAACCTTCAACCACCACGCGAGAAGCACGTCCGAGCTCCCGACCCATTCGCTCGATCCCTGCAGCTTCGACCCCTCCATGATCTCGCGCTGTGAATCCTCCAGAAAGGCCTTAGGCACGCGCACGAACCTGCTCTCCTCCTTCGCGCCCCAGCGTATACCAGCCCCGTTGCTCCAACACCCCATTCGGCTTTGCGAAGCTCTCGAACGGCGCCGCGTCCACCTCCATTCCAGGTATCGCATCAAGTTCTTCTCCGTTTATCAAGCGCGTCCAGGCATGGATGAGTTCACCCGCGCCCAGCGCGTCAAAGAGGATATGGCTAGCGGTAACCCCGACGAAGGTCGTGTCGTCGAAAAGCGCGACGTGCACGCGCAGCAGGGGCGTATTTGGTGCCAAGAACGCCTCCACGGAGGTGGGGCAGGTTTTGCTTTTGAAATACATCTCGTATGCGGCGGGCAGCACGGGGCAGACCGAGGGCTGTTGGGAATTTGTCATTGCGGTCATATGCGGGGGGAGTTCGGGACGCGTGGCTGAGCGGTAGGGTTCCGCGAAGTCGTCGACGGTGAATACCAGAGGGGGACTGTTCGAATCAAAGGTGCGGGGGACTTGGAATTCGTATACCTTCCGGCGGCGTCAATGGGAAATAAAATTTATATTAGAAATATGAGCTCACCCCGTTTCGCAGGGCAAGCCGGGCGCCCGTTCGGGGGAATTTGTGCGTAACGAGCGTCGTCAGAGTATCTCCTAGTTTCTTTGCGTCCAAGCGCGCGTTGACGATGAGGCCGGTGGTGAGGATGGCATCACGAGCCGAGACATCGATACCCGTGCACGGAAAGGAACGGACATCTGCGGGCGGAGGGGTGGCTGCATCTGAAAAAAATGAACACAGTCGAGAGAACATGGACGTTGTGGGTCACTGTGGGGAATGTTCAAAACGCCGGTCTGATTGATGAGCCTGCAAGGCCATCGGATTTGCAGCCGCCGCTTCAAGGAAGACATTTAGCAGTCGCTTATATACCGTGAGTCGCCTTTACAGCAACAAAGGGTCGAGCAGAAGAAACAAAACTTCAAGCAACTTCGGAATTCCAATTGTCAAAGTTGGAGCCATCCAAAATCAAACCTCTTCAGCGCTCGGATGACTGTCGTGGTTGGATCGTAGAGAGTCCCTTGAATCGTCTTTTACAAACTCCGCCCCGACGGCTGGTATTTCGAAGGACCCGTGGCAGCAGGGCTGGTTTGCCACATTTGAACCATTCTTTTCAACCGTGGGAACTCCAGCCGTCGGCACGTCTCCGATCAATCTTGATGTCTTGCCCATGCTGCAAGTCTACAATGTCACAGGCGCTTCGAGACCTTGGAAGGGACTTACTCCACTACTCTGTGCTCTCATGTGCTCTCAACCCAAGGAATTCCTTCCAGCGACGATGGAGAGAAACTGGAGACAAGAGATCGAAATTAATGGGGCGTTCTCCCGGTATGGCTGGGCTTCATCCTTTTGCGAGTCCGGGTTAACTGTAGGTCTTTCCCTCGCAGCATTCTCGAGTTACAAGCGATTGTGTTTGCTTTAACCGTCTTTGACAACTTCATTGCCTCTATGAATATCAATACCAGGAAGGTTGAACCAAAACTGAGACGCCCATGCACACACCGACATTAATACCCTCACAAAAAATCCATAGTCCCGCTCCTCCTCACAGCCTCCCAATCCCTGACCCCCCTGATCTGGGACATCCACACCGCATCCTCATCCTCCATCAAAATCGTCCCCACCCCCCGCATCGGAATCCCCGCCCCGGACACCGCGTACCCCAGCCCCAGCACCACGCGCGCCTTCCCCTCCCCCTCCCCCTTCTCCGTCTCTGGAGCGTTCGCGGCCGCCCCCGCAAAATCGAGCGCCCCCAACCTCGCCGCGCGCCAATTCGTCTGGAACGTATACTCCCCATGCGGCGGGCAGGGAAAGTGCGTCGCGAGCGGGTTCGCGCAGCGCCAGCGCACGTCCGCACGGATGCCCGCGGGGTCGGCGGTGTACGTGAGGATTGTGCGCCGGATGCGTAGCGCGAGTGAACCAAGGGAGGCGGTGCGGAGGGCGTTGGCGGGGATGGGCGGGATGGCGATGTTGGAGACTGCGTTGTGGATGTATGGGGACTTCAGGGGCGCATCTCCGGGGAAGATGTTCTTGCTGCGCAGGTCGACGGGCAGATGGACGTGAATCGGCGTGGTGTCGCTTGGGTTGCGATGGCCATACGTGCTCTGGAACCTTTTTCAACACCGCTAGCATAACCGGCTTGAAATAAAAAGGATCACCAACCTTCAACCACCACGCCAGAAGCACGTCCGAGCTCCCCACCCACTCGCTCGATCCCTGCAGCTTCAACTCCTCCATTATCTCGCGCTTGGAATCCTCGAGAAAGACCTTAGGCACGCGCACGAGCCTGCTCTCTTCCTTCGGGTCGCGGAAAATCCGGAACAGAAACCGCATGATGAAGAGAATCTGCCCCAAGAGCCCCAGCGTGTACCAGCCCCTTTGCTCCAACACCTCATTCGGCTGTGCGAAGCTCTCGAGCGGCGCCGCGGCCACGTCCATCCCAGGGATGACGGCAAGGTCTTCCCCGTTGATCAAGCGCGTCCAGGCATGGATGAGTTCGCGCGAGCCGAGCGCGTCGAAGAGGATGTGGTTGGCGGTGACGCCGATGAAGGTCGTGTCGTCGAAGACCGTGACGTGCACGCGCAGCAGAGGCGTATTGGGTGCCAAGAATGACTGGAGGGATGTGGGGCAGGTTTTGCTTTTGAAGAACATCTCGAAGGCGGCGGGCAGGACGCGGCAGACCGACGGCTGGGAGTTTGACATTTTAGACAGGACAGCGGTGTACGTGGGTAGTTCGGGGCGCGTGCCTGAGCGGTATGGTTCCGCGAAGTCGTCGACGGTGAATACCAGAGGGGCGGTGGTCGAATCGAACGTGCGGGGGACTTGAAACTCGTATACCTTCAGGCGGCGTCAATGAGAAGTTAAAGTAAAATTCACCCTAGAAATACTGCGAACTCACTCCATTTCGCAGCGCAAGCCGGGCGCCCGCTCGGGGGAATTTGTGTGTCACGAGCGTCGCCAGAGTATCTTCTAGTTTTTTCGCGTCTAGACGCGCGTCGACGACGAGACCAGTGGTGAGGATCACGTCGCGAGCCGAGACATCGATGCCTGTGCACGGGAAACAACGGACGTCAGCTGGGGGAGGGGTCAGCGTTGAAAAGAAGAATGAACGCAGTCCAGGGAACATGGGCCAGCAGGTTGTGGTAGATCTTGACAAGGCCCGCACTGTGGGAAGAATGGTCCGCCAGTTTGATTGATACCCCCGTAATCCACCGGATTTGCAGCGAATTCAACCAAGACGTTTCGCACTAGTTATACTGTGAATCAGCTTTCAACTGTTGAATTCGAAACTTTGCGCCGCCGGCTCTCTGCGTCCAATCGGTCGGAAAATTCCATTGAGCTTTAGTGAGTCGAACCAGTTCTGAATCCAAGCCGTTCGATGGATGGCTTCGAACGCACAGTTCAAAATCAACAATCCGGTTTGTTTGAAGCCACCTCGCGAGTTTTAAGCTCTCCAATCGCGAGGCCCTTGGGCGCAGAAGAACGGCTCCGAATGGCAAGCCTGATGATGATAATAAGTGCACTATGATACAAATGGTGAATCGAAAGCGTGATGATAACAAGTGAACTATGACGGTAAATCCAAACCCCGGAGCCTCGCCTC